CTACTTTCTGATTTGTAAGCTGCATAAATAAAATGAGTAAAATCTGTTTTCTTCTACCAAGGGACAACCAGTATTTGACAAATTAACTCAAAGAACAGTGGAGATACTGAATTACGTAAATAAGAAGGTGAAGCGCAAGATGCATACCAGGAATTTGTGTTTAAACCTTTTGCTTTGACTTAAAAGCATTTTAAAATATTAACTAAGTAACACTACACACTCTGTATGCACATCAAAGTTTTAGTGGAAAAATCACATTACAACAGTACACTACAGTCACTGAATGATCATTTATATATGCATCCTTCTATTCTAGCTGTGCAAACATTCAAACACTTAGAGACTTTTAATGTTAAAGGAAAAGATGCTATCACCCTGTGTCATCTGTGTAAGGCATTCACAGTATAGATGGCACCTAAAGCTGTACCTGCCAATAGTGTCTCAGCCACAAGACTGAGCCAAGAGAGTTTCTGCATCTCATGCACAAGCTGTTCATATTTTGAGAGTTTGTTCCAGACATGTGGTTTCCTTTTTCCCCTGCTGTTGCCTTGTTTTCTCCTTAGTCTTCCCTTTTTCTTCAGCCATCCCTTTCCAAATCCTATTCTCTCCGGACTCCTTGAAATCTTGTTTCAAGTTTCTAACTCCTACAGTGGCATAAGATCATTGACAATCATGATGTTATTTATCACCTCAAAGAAAGGCATATTCCTAGGAAACTTCTAACTTGCCTAATTTACCTAATCCAAGGTAAAAAAAACTCCAGCTCACAGTGTAGATATCACTTAATCCAGATTCCTTCTTTCATCAGAAAAGACAATTTCCAGATCATGATGAGCATAAAGCCAAGAGGGTAAATTTCACCACTCCTGGACTGCACGATACCACCAAAGCAAGCACATATGGTACTCAGCTTCTACCTAGTTGCTTTATGGGCCAGAGGTTTTCTCTGCTTCTTGTCTGGTCCTCTTGGCAGAGGATTTGCACATTTACCATTTTCAACATTCCTGCTTATCTTCCCTGTACACAAATAATATCAGCAGATGCCCAACTTCCTGAGTTTAAGTTTCGGCAGAATCCTTCCACCTCTCCCAGTCTAAGAGAGTCATCAAAACATTTCTTATCTCTGTCCCATAGACACAGAAAGAAGATGGCCTGCTGGTACCCCCTTTATAAATTGTTTTCATTATGTTATTCTCAGCTCTGCTGAGTATGGCAAATACGCCCAGTTATCTGCAAACATCTACCACTATCTTAATTGAAGTGTTCCCAGAGCCTATTTTTCCTTTTCACACCTAACTCCAAATTTATTTTTGTGAAAGCTGCAGAGAAACCCTGATGACCTCACAAACAGGCTGTCATAGGGTGTGAGAAATTGAAGGCATTAGAAGAGGGACTGTACTGTCTCCATTTCTGTTTAAGATCATGGACTACTAACAGTCTTCTAGCCTGTTGTATTCCCTTACAATTCAGGTAACTTAAGGTGCCCTTCAGTAGTCCCTTTACTGAGGTATTTTCCCATTTAATGTCTGGGATGGATTGAAGTAGCTTAATCCAGCTGCATAGATGTAGTTATTTAATGATATTTGAGATATCAAACCTCTGGAAGTAGCAGAATATGACACAGGACCTATTGGAAACACATACCTCTTTGAGTTGGCAGGTGGAGCCATGCAGGATATCTGTGGGCTTTTTCATGTCTGCATTTAGCTAACTGAATTGGTTGTGTAGTCATACTTTCCATGAACAGCACTGTTCAAGACTGACAAGATTTCCAAGCTTAAAATTCTGAAAGGAACAATTTGCTCTTTGGTCACCGCTGGTGTGATGACTAAGATAGTGTTTGAATTACAAGCTTTCATCATATGGAAGCCAATCATCAGCTCTAACTGTATTTCTCTCTCCATCACCTCTTGCCTTTTGACAATACTCTGGCCAAAGATGCACACCAGGAAAGTCCTATCTTTCTACCCCTCCTGGCTCCCCCAAGTCTAGGGCCCCTCCTTTTTCAACTGGCAGGAGGTGGTTTCCCTCATAGCCTGAAGGACCATAAACCAAATAATGCCTTAGGGAAGAAGAAGGGGGTTTGATGATAAAAAAAGAACAGGGAGATCAATCACAACAAGCCACTGGAGGGCTGGTTTAGCAGTAATCCCACGCTGGCTACAGCAGGGAGACTGGCTTGCTTTTCTTAGGTATTTTAACGGTGTGATCACCCTTGTCCTGGAAAGTACCTTCCATTTGCAGCAGATGAAGGATTACTGCAGCTGCTATGGAAAATGACTGAGGAGGATTTTCACACCATAGTCATAAAATTTGTTACATATGGAGGCTTTCCTGATAAAATTCTGAATATCCCTTAGACACAGAAGCTCCTATTAATGTCTATCAGGCACAGTCTAAGCTTCTTTCCATGGTGGTGCAGCCTGATGAACATTTGTAGGGAGCATAATTTAAATCAAAATCTTCTTCAGTGACAGGCACTGCCAGCATGGGTTTATGTGTTTACTTGCCATCATCTCATTGCCCTGCACTTGCTCAAGACCTTTCATGTGATGCTAGTCACTCTAAAAAGAGTAGCTACACTTCAATCTTGTTTGAATATAATGCTCTGCAATGAGAAATACGTCAGCAGATGTTTTAAAGAAACTGGAGGAGAAAGACAGATGCTGCACCTGGAAGCAATGCCCTGCATGGGAGGATGAGTAACGCTTGAGCTGCTTTTCGAGGAAGAATGCCTGCTGGAAGGTAATGGGCTTGCAAAGGCTGAGGGACAGACATCATCTGTCTCAAAAAATCACAGGAAGCTTGTCCTGGCAAGCAACTGGATTTTCAAATTATGAAATAGAAAGATTGATTAAGGCTTTTATTAGTAATAATAACTTTATTTTTCTTTTTATATAAAAACAAATGCCAGATATAACAGTGAGACATTTCCCATTAGCAATCCAAGATTATACTGACACAAAGTACACTTGACAGAGTTACAACATATGACTGTTCAAAAACTAAAGCTCAATATTGAAGTCAGCTGTGTGATTGGTAAGTAGGTCATCTGTTGGGAACAGATGTGCTCTCTCATCTGCATTGCTTTGCCAGCTTTGACCTATAATGCCCTAAATGTCCTACTCTGCCTATCTAAAGCGAGTGGAGTGACCCAAAGGGATTATTCTCCAGAGGTCTCCTTAACCTGGAATCCATTTCCCACTCTTTTTCCTAATGTGTTGACTTCTAGTTCACACAAGACTGATTCATTTTTCCAGACTTGGAAAAGGGATGAAGGCAAGGGGATCTAGCTAATGATAATTTGAATATCATTTGGCTTTGCTGGTGGTATTGGCTTCTAGATCAAATATTTATTTTTTGAGGCTAAGACACTTTGTTTAACAGTTTATATTTTTCATAGAGTAATTAGTGCCAAGGATTGGCAGAAAGGTGCCTTTATGTGTGTTCTTAAATATACAAAATGAAAAAAACCATGCTGCATTTGTTTAAAATACTAAACATTTTGTTCAGTTTTGCACATATGTAGTGACATAATTTAGGATCTCAGAGCCAAACATAGCTAAAAAATGTTATGATTCCCTCCGCTTTGTGGGACTCATTCTTTAGCCTTAATAGGCTCCACAAGTGTTATTCTTGCATTTATATTTGTATTTTATTTATATATATATGTGTCCGGGAGACAGGGAAAATGTGAGAAAGAAAGGAAAATTTGTTTAGGGACACTCAGCATCCTCTTACCTCCTTTCATTTTAACCTTAATTTGCTTACAACATTAAGGCTAGCAAAAAAATGCCTAGGCCTTTAAAAGAGATGTAACATTCTTCTTCAAAATCTCAAACAAGCAAGGGATAACCAGTGGTGGCCTCAGGCAATGCAGTTAAAAAAAGTGGTTATTTCTAGTCTACAGACATACAGCACAGGCAGTTACACCTTCTCTGTAGAAAAATGAAGCTGAGCATGCAGTCCCTACAGGAACCCCTCAAAGCCCTTCTCAACTAGCTCATAAGACAGGAAAGGTCCACATTTACCCTTTCCAAGCTTTAGCAGATAAAGGATGATTAACTCTTAGTGTGCACACAAAACCAGGAGCCTATGATTTCTTCTTTACTGCGAGCAAGACTGTTTATTGTTTTGCACCCAAGTTACAGATTTCTTACTTCACACATTCTGCAAACCCTTCCACTGAAGCAGGCAAGGAGGAAAATGTTTATTCCTACACACATTAACCCAAAGGGGACAACCAGAAATTAGTGAAACTTCTAAAAAACCCCAAACCAAACATGTATCTGCATCTTGAGTAGGAAACTGCAGCTACCTTCAAACATAATGTATTCAGAAATGCATCCGATAAACCACTCTTGCTCCCGTAAATACAGGGTCTGGTAAACAGCAAGATAGACGTGCATAAATGTATTTATGAAAGTGTATAAATTAATTAGTGTGCTTCAAACACTTACTGGACAGTAATAGCTCTCTGAATTCTCTAAAGGAATACGAAGCAACTGCATGCATAGATTTGTAAGCATCCCTACGTATACCACACAACACAAACAGATTTTATATACCAAAGTGCAGTATGACAGTAGAATATGGCCATTTGCTATCAGCTCAAATACCTCTTTGCATTCTTATTAGTACAGAGGTTTCAGCTCTTAGATATGTCTCTATTGTTTTTCACTCTAATTGGAGGTATATAACCTAAAGCATAATAGGAATATTGCATTTAAAAAACCCCAGGACTTTCTGTCCAATTGGGAATAACTCTAAGTGACAACAAATGTTCAAGACATCCCGTACGAGGTTTGGCTGTGCTGTTGATACTCAGTTTTCCAGAAATGGGAAAAAAAGTCAAGGGTCTGATTGTAGGACAAGCTTTATACAAAATGAGTTTAAATAGGATGAGATCACTTCAGCTCTCCCCTTTAATGGCTGGTGGCTTTACTGTCAACAGAGGAGCTGAAAGACACAGAACTCACTCACACACCAAGAAATCTTACCTCTATCTGCACCTGGACTTCATCAAGTTTGTTTTCAGCAAATGAAGATTTTCTGGTCTGTCCTCTCCTGTGGCCAAACTTGCATTTGTTCCTCAGGACTTGCTCATCATCTTCAATGGGTCTCCGCACATATTTGAAACGATCTTTAAGTGCCCGTTTCCATAGTAACTGCATGGGGGAAAAATATCTGTCATTACCTAAAGCAGGACACTTTTTTGTATCTACAAAAAAGTGTTTGCCATTTAAGCAGAAAAAGACTCATAGGGTGGCATCACCACATTGGTGGCTTCAGGACAGAAGGAAACACAAGCACTTGTGGTATATGGCTCTATGGGAACTAACGGCTGGGCTAATGGCACTGCTGTGACTTGCTATGGATAACAGTTATTGAACCTTAGGGTTTAGATCTCTCCTATATAACAAGGGGTGTCAGTGAAAGTGCAGTTTGCTTTCCTTTTCTCAGCTCTTACTTTCGGATGCTCCATTCATGACATTGGGTCATGCAACTACATAGTGAAGCAGATCAGCTCATGGATGCTGAAGAAATTGTGCAGTGGGTTTTTTGGGTTTGGGGTTTTTGGTGTTTTGGTTTTTTTTAATTTAGTGCATTATTTTTCCTCTGCCTCTGGTGGCATTTAACTGGTTGCACAATTGTATGATGATTGTATCTAATAGAAGGAAGAGGGAAAGACAGAGTGGGGCACTACCTTTTACTGGGAGCCTACAGGTGTACTGGATCAACTATATTTTTAAACTGAACTCAAAATCACTGAATTAAGAGGATCACTTAAGTAGGTCCTAGTGTTTCTACAAGGTATGTAAATTGCAACTTAAAGGCATTTCTGCACTGCAAGCAGATGCAATCCCTGTTTAATGGAGCCATTCAAGACTCTTTGACAACCAAAGGTGGAGTTTATGTGGTCCCACAGCTTCTGTCACACTTTTCTCCTTCTTTACTTGGGTATTGAAAAGTAACTTCTGAAAATTGGATGGACAGCAACTTCCTTGTGCATCCTTGTGGACTGATGGCTGTTTCCATGCAGCCTCCAGCTGGATGTCCCATGGCAGGACCTAGACATGCCAACTACTGACCTGTGGGGAACAAATTACTAAGCAAAGGCTGTTAAACACATCTGCAGGCAAAACCTGCAGTTTTGAATAGTTTTGTCAATCCTCAAAAGCAATTGCTTATTCAAGTTATTAAAGGGTATTCAACAGTCAGAGGGAACAAAAATTGGTCAGAAAAGTGACTGTAAATGACAGAATGTGGCAAGAGAGGTTCAAATAGCTCTTACCTCATTTTCTAAAATTTACTCCAATACTATACTCACATAAGACTATATTTAAGCTTGTACTCGCTGACATGCTAAAACAAAATACAAACAGAAGTATGAATACCCTAAATTTCTTACCAAAATCGTGTCATTTATTAGTCAAGGTCACATGATTTGAAAGGTTGACTTTGGTGTAAACCTGAATTCAGTAGAGGTAGACCAAGTAGTACAATATCTTTCTTTGCAGTGAGTCTCACATGCCTGCCCTTCTCACTCACAGGATACAGCTGACAGGGTCTCTTAAGAGGAGGTGGTGAATGCAGTGTGACCTTGCATTTCTCCTGCTGAAATTACTGTTCCCACCTCCCTAGGGTACTAGCTGACTTACAGGCCCTCAATCCTAAAAGCAAGACCTCTATTAATGGTGGAAGAGCTATGAGAATATAATCCCCGTGGTGTCTACTTCAGCTGTTCTTGAGCAGGCCTGGGCCAGTCAGGGCAGGTATGCCCTTCCTAGGGGCACATGAGCCCTTACTGAAGTATCCTCTCACTGCCAGTCACACTTGAACATCCAAGAATGGGAAAAAAAAACCAAACCCATCTGCATTTCTAGTATGTAGACTTCAGACTTAGGATTCTGCCAGAACAGGAGTCATGTCATGACCAACCTAAACATAATGATTAGAAATAGAGTACAACTGCTCACCCAGTCTTCCCACAAGCCTCAATATCAGTATTACACATCAGCACCATTTTCAAAAGCAGTAGGGTGACTACATGCCTTGAAAATCCCCCTTATTTTCCACCTGAATCTTTAAGGTTCCTAAATACATTTACAGTTCTGGCCCTATGTATTTTGATGCAAATACCCTGTCATTATAAGCCTAGCAAAATTTATTTGGAAGCTTGCTATTTTAAAGCTGTTAAGAAAGAAGCAAACAAAAACTTTAGCCTAATGCTTCTCTGAAGTGTTCAACAGATGTTATAATATTTTAAAACATGATCATCATGGAATATATTAGCAGCTGACAATTTAAACATCCCCATAGTTGAGCTCTGCACAATTTCTTTCTTTTGAAAATTTTATTTGGCTGGAAGATATTTTTGCTTATTATTTCATATGAAAGAATATGCTGACACCTATACAAGGCTTTAAATATCCCTCAAAGTTCAAAACATTCAGCTGTTTCATCCTCCAGTTCCCCAGTAAATTAAAAGTTTTAACTAAATCTATTTCTGTAATAGAATTCTCATAAACTTAGCCAAGTCCCTTCCCACATACCTATTTTAAGAATGAGACTGCAAGCACATACATTTATGTGGTTTCCCTAGTGGGTAATGCATCTTCTAAAAATGATGCTTTCCTTACCATTTTCGAACCGATAACTTTTTTCTATTTATTTCCCTGCCTTCACACCCCTCCAAAAAAAAAAACATCCCAGGAAGGCTTACCATGCTTGTAAGGGAGTAGAAGGATTAGTCTATCTGACATTGGAGGGAAAGGATTACATGCAGATTAAAAGCAGTAATTTCCTAGCAAATAATCATTTTGTGTGCAGCAGTTACATAAATCAGGCATGTCAGCACTGAGATGCTGGTTTGCACTAGCACTGCTCGGCAGCCACAAGCTCAAGGGAGCCACTGATGCAAAGCCCACTGGCAAGTGTTGCGAATGAGAGAGCCCTCTCTTTTCCTTCCTCATATCATGGTTTTTTCTTGAAACCGTATAATTTTCAACATGCTGAAATTAAATAAGGGAAGTAATTCTTTCCGAATTGTTGGGTTTAAGCCTTGTAAAAGTGACCAATAGAGATGGAATAGAACACAAATAGAATATCTTGCAAGTTGTCAAGAAACATTGTCATGCCAATTTACTTTTGACTGCTGTGTCTATGATATTGGCTTTTTCTATACAAACTATTTGTCTGTAACTTACAGATGTTGCATTGGTTACAATACACATTAGAAACCTAGTAAGCTATTTCATGATTAAATTAAGATTTTTATTTTTTAAATGCTGTATATTAGGTTAGGATAGCATTGTTCTGTAAGTGGAAGGAAACATCACAGGAAAAGTTCCTTAGGTAATCACTTGAAAACTCTTTTCACCAAATGCTAATCTTGGAATTAATTTCATTCCAAGTACTCTATAGACCTCTTAAGTGAGTTTTGTCATTAATATAAAATGATTATTTTTAATATTATTTAGAATTTCAGATAATTCTTTCTTAATCCCTGCTTCTATGGTGACTTCATAAATAACATTCTTTTTAAATTCATGGTACATGAGCAGTTTATTTGTGATTTTATTTGTAAATTAATTCATTTAGGATCATATTCATTGTCCTGACTATGTTGCATTGGATAGCCTTCAAAAAAGGGCAGATGGCACAGAAGTATATTTTTTCAACACTGCAAAATTAAATGGGAAATCTTTTAACCAAGAAAATACAATTATGGATAATCTACTAATAAATCCTGAAACATCAAATCTTTAATGGCCTCTCATTGTAACAGTATGAGATTGAAAATATTAGACTACATTTCTACATAACACACACATTGTTTAAATGATTTGTTTAAAATAATTTGGAGTTGTAAATAGGAAGTGTCCAGTATTTGGGGAAAAAAAACAACCAAGTAAACCTCACAAACAAACCGAAAAAATGGAATGTTCAAAGTTTTGCAAGTAATTCTTTTTCCTGTCATGAAAATACTCGTGTGAATTTAGGTGCTCTTAAGTTTGGTTGTTTTGGTTTTGTTCCTCTATGTTTTCCAGCAAATCTTTCCCCTTTTCAGTTGTTCAAGTCATTTCATTTTAACAAAAATGTTGCAACAAAAGTGCTGACATTTACAGTTCAAAGTTTCTCCATCCGTGTACATCAAGAACATCAAGTTCTTTGTCTCTGCTCTTGGTCAGAAGATTCTGGGATATCAAGACCTTTCATGTGACCTTTCCTTTTTCTCATCCAGGAAGCCCAACCGCTTGCCCCTGCCCACCCACACCACGCACAGGCATGTACACTGGCCAGAGAAGATCCCAGAACAGTTTATGCTGCATCCTTCCAGCAGCCAAGACACATCCATTTCTGGTGAAGGGCTCAAAGCTGGAAGACTCACAAGTTAAAATTAAAATCACACCACTACAGACCTCCTCAGGACATCTCCTTAAGAACTACTGCACCCTTCTGTAGAGCCCAGCAGATGCTGTGGCTGCTCCTCCACCCCAAAGGGTAAGAAAACTTTTTAAGCATAAATTTAAACTGAATCTAGGAACTGAGACATGGCACAGTAATAAATGGAGAGCAGTAAATGTCATTAACAGTACATTGGGATAGAGCATTTCGCACGGCAGAAAGGAAAATACTCAACTGCAGAAGTGAGCTCCAGCACACCAGAGGGAATGCAAAACCTAGTACGCCAAACTGTGCTAAGCCCTTTTGGTTTTTAAAATATATGCAACAATTAATTTTTCCTGCAACTTTGTCAAGAAATTAAAAGTCCAAATAATGTAAACAGGCTTGTTGGTGTTCTAAAAAAACCTGAATAACTTTATTAATCTACCAGTGCTGAAAATCATTGTTTTCAGAGGCTGACCCAGCTAAATTGCCATGTTTGGTGTGTCCCATCCTCCAGCCTTACAACACAATGAAAGGAGGGTGTTATCTGTCAGACACAGACAGCTGTGCACAGCTGGTCACCCAAGGCTCTCTGGAGTCCAAAGAGTAACAAGAACTCACGTAGTGCTATTCCTTTTTCCCAATGTAAACAACAAAACCATATTACATGAGCTGCATCTCCAGAAGTTTATATATAAATGTTATTTAATAAGGAATTTAATTGGGATTTTTGCTTAAAATACTGCTCTATGCCAGTTTTCCTTTTCTCCATTTACCTATCAATCCCCAAAGACCTTTCTGCTTTACCTCTGAATTTTATTGATGATAGATTTCTTAAATACTTTCAATGTACTATTCAAAAAATTGTAATAATAACAACAAGTTTAAGGTATACAAAGCCTCTCAGTAATTAATATTTTACATCTTACATTTTAATACTATTATCAGGAACAGCAAGCAGCAATTATAGTCCCTTGATAGCTGGAGGCAATTTTAAAAGAAGAGCCTACAAAAATTTTGCTTTTTTGAGCTGCTGAAGATCCTTTCTGAGAAAAAAAAAAAGAAAGAATGGCAGTTGCCAATTTTTTTTGCTGTTCATTTGTTTCTTAAAGGTATATGAATTCAATTTTACTGCAAGTCGTGATAAGTAGCTGTACATATGTTGCAGGGTTTGTTTTAAGCCACTGTTGTTGTAACACACAGCTATCTCAGATCAAGAAAAAATAAGTATTTATAGCCTTTGTGATCATGAAGGAAGAACATAATGTCTAACACTAAGGCCAATAAAAATAGTAGTTCATTCTCACGTCCTCCTCCAAACTTAAGTATACAGGCATACACCTTTAGTGCATTTTTTTCCTGTCTCAACCCAGGCAGTGGAGAGGGGCTGGCCCAGAAAGTGTTAGACTAGCAATATTGCAAACTGCTAATTCCAACTTCCTTGCTTACTTTCGGTGGTTATTGCCAGACATACTTTCTAGTAAGCATGAGGGAAAGATCAAAAAATAAAGAACAACTTCTCTGAAGTTTCTGCGCCATCACATAATTTTTGCCAGCGGCAATTCTGCGATCAAGCTGGAAAGTAATGAACCATTTCCTAAAGAACAGAGTTATAAGTAGTTTCACCCAGTCTATGGCCCTGCTGCAATTAAAGGCCTTTGAAAACCTAACTTAAGAACCTCTGTTTAAAAACAATTTTTAAAAGTTAAAGGCTGTAAAATGGTTTTCAGACCTGACCTGAATATCATTCCAGCTCCCCCACAGAAAGGGAGCCAGATAAGCCATAACATTGCTCAGAACCCCACCTGAGGACCAACATTGGGGTATTCAGAGAGGTACCCTAATTAAAAAAGGATAGACTGTTGCTATCTGATTCTTTTGCTTCCTCTCTCCTCTTTGAGATGTGCTTCTTTTCTTTAGTCCCTTCCCTTCTACAATGCCTGGGCTCAGGGGAGAATTAGAATAGCCACCACTTAAACCTGAGCTGTTTTGTTTTGTTTTGTTTTCAAAATTATTTTGCTTTCTACAGTAATGGCACGTAAGATATATATTTATACATGTTTAAAGCTAACAATCCCCACTGAGGCTCACAAGCTTTTACAAGGTGCTATAAAAGTATCACATGGCAAAGCAACGATGTGAAGTCAAAAGGTGACCACTGTCCTCAGAGACCACAGATATATATAGATATAGATATAGATGATATATATTCTGGGTCACAAGAGTGAAAAAAATGTAGTTCAAATTTAAGTCATCTCCTTCCACTGCTTTCAGTTATGTCCCCACTGAGATTACAAAAAGTGGTTTTAGATTTTTTTTTTTTTAAATTAGGCCTAGATTCCAGACATACTTAAACCACTAGTATTACTGAATTTTGTAGTTTGATATCTAACACATAAATGATCATAATGCATTGCAAGACCATCAGTCGGATGTTAGTCCTCATACAGACAATTTTCTAAAGAGTTGGCTTTTTTGTTTTTAGAAACAAAAATAAGTCACATTTAAATTTATCTTTTGGCATAATAAGTCCAGAAAGAAAGCATACCCAACAACCAACCAGGGACTTCATGTACAGGTCTGTATGATCTCACAGTAGCTTTGAGGTATGGCGATAACTGGACTAATCTTTAATCAATATAATGAAATAAGAATGTGATTTGCCAAATGCAGCCAAGTGAAGCTTACAGCTCTGAATAAACCCAGTATATAAGAAATTGATATTGATTTCTTCTGAACTAGGTTATTTTCTTGTGATTGATTATGTGGAAAAATCCCCACAATACTTACAAAGCCATTCCCGTCTTCATCAAGGAATGGGTATGCCTGCAGCAGAGCATTGACAACAACGTTATATTGCTGACTGTTCGGATACCTGTGCAAACAAGATGGAGATGTAAAAGAAATAGTTGTTATTCTAGATAATAATAAACACTAGGATCTATACTGATCTACATTAAACTGACTATTTCTCAGGCAATCAATTCCTCTTCAAAGAACAAAAGGCACAGCTTTAATGCTTGCATGAAATCTTCCTGTTGTCTTCAACAGATTTCAGACCCTTAGCCTCTGCTACATAAACAAGTGTATTAAGGACAACGGCTTTACATCCTTTTGAAAATTTACCTCTGCACCCAATAGGTAATGGCCCCATATAAATCTACTGGAGTTTACTCACAGTGATCCTTCTAGGTATTTTGTCATGTCTGCTTGTAAAAATTCAATAATCCTTATTCTCACACTGTGATCAGGGCATTTTTTTTCAGCTAATATACACTTGACATCATAAGGAAAGTCTGGCAAAGCATAAGAACTTGTCCACTGCAACATCTTGTGTCTTGCAAAAAATGATTTCAGATTTTTTCTGTAAAAGAAAAGATTATATCATCACAATCACATCCTTCTTCTATGGAAATGCAGACAAGATGAGAAGAAAAACACAAGGAAAAACTCAACACACAGGAAGTCTATAGCTACAGAAATTCAAGGCTTGCTGTCCTTGTTTTTGCATGAAGAATACCTACAAAAGCAGCAATCAATACACACAGAGTTAAACCAGATGTCAAATGTGAAATGTTATAACCAGCAGACACTAGAAGGTGGTTTCTAACTGAAAGTGGAAGGCAGAGCAGAGGTATGGGGACTTGTACTGTTGCAAAATAACTTTATCTGTCTTCATGTCTAATGTGTTTCCTACTAGTTCTGCTAACTAGAACTAGAGTAAGACAAACAGCTTAATTGAATAAAATACTATACATGACATTACCTAAGACTGTCCTCCCCAGGGGAAGGCAATTAAGGGATGAGGGCAGTTATCATCAGCACATGTCTGGAAACAAAGCAGACACAGCCTGTAAAGTTCTGGCAGCTCCTGTCACAAGAACACCCTGACACTATTTACAGATGTCACATCCCAGCTAGGGTGAACCTGAGGCAGGTTATCACCTCTGGCTACTCAAACCCTAATTCTGAAGGAACACAGGGAAAAGTAGAGATAAATTTGGCTTGAAGTCAGTCAAAAGCCACCTAAAAGATGGAGTGGTTCTGGCAGCCCTGGACAGCTTCCCAGTCATAGTAGTGCAGGTTCAATAAAGCAATTTCAAATGAGAGGTGCCAAAGACAACTAGAGAGTCCTGTTATAGATGTGGTATCACTGCAGTTTATGTTTGCTTTAATTTAAATTACAGAGAGCAATTTGAAAACAACTAGCAGACTTAAAAAAAAAATTCTAAAACAAAATGCTATAATTATAGATGACATTGGTAGATGCTTAAATGGTATAAATGTACAGATACAGATATCTAAATTAATCATTTTCAGTCTCTTTATTTTCACCGAGGAGACATAAACACCACTGAAGTTTGACAGAACAACCAGAATAAATCTAAATCAGATTGGATGATCCCCCTCATCTATTTCTTTCCACTAATTATGAAGAAAATTAAGACAGCTGTTGAGACGTATACAGTAGAGATTTCAAGTTAAGAATTCCCCACTTGAGGGATGTGGATAACAGTTCCCACACAAAGAATTGTGGCTGGATGAGGCATGTTCCAGTGTCCCTCCCAAACTTCACTACATTTTGAGTCTATGAAAGTTACAGAAGGAAATATTGTTTGACTTCAGTCCAGTCTCTATGGTAGCCTATAAACAAGAGCTAGGTATATAAACAAGACTTGTGAAGAGTTCTAGCAAGGTCTTAATGGGGAGATTTTTCTATCTGATCTTTTTCAGATAGGGATGTAAAAAATAAATAACTGACTCAATGTGAGCCAATATCTTTAGGATGGCAAAATCAAGTGCAATACCAATGGATGAGCATTTGAAATACCTTAGTTTGCACTGCTTTGAAAGACTATTATATACCTGTACAGCAGCTCATTTGGGTCCCTGTAGCCGGTTATAGCCTCAATACCCTCTTGAGTAGATTAGTCTGTAAGTCTCAACCTTATTGACCTGTTTATGCTGCCACACCACCTTGGCATCTTTTAACATAGCTTGTAGGCTATCAAAAACTCTACAGCCATGATATAACTGCACCAACCCCAACACTACCACATATGGCAATATAGTGCTGAGAAAAAAAATGTATCATTTGGGTACTGTCATCTGATCTTAACAGTAGTAGCAGTACTGACAGCACTACCATTTCCCAATGCAAAAGAGGTACAAAATGGTCAGGGCTTGTTATGTCTTTCTAAGCTCATCAGATTTCATGAGACACAAATGGTTAACAGCAGATGCAAAGGGCAGTGAACTTCTGTTAGTACTTTGCAGTCTCAAAAGAAGGGAAAGTTGTTCAAGAAGTGACAACATATCCACATGGACACATTCATGTCCTTTTTTGGTGATAAATTAATACACAAATGGGAAAATAAAATTGAACTCAGATTCTGAAATCACTTGGAAACCCCTCCTGCGCAAATAAAGTGCAGATGTTCAATGTAGCATCAGTGAACCGCTCTGCAGCCTGTAAGTCTGCATCCTGTATTTTTGCCAATTTTACTGATGAAAGTGACATAGCAGACAGGCTATTTTCAACACGCTATCATTTAAACTAGCTCAAAAAATGGACAGAAGTTTAAAACTTACAGTACTTTGTATTTTAGCAGCACTGAAATTCCTTTTGATGGTAACACCAGTGAAGCTGAAAAGCCACTTCAAAAAGTGGCAAGGTTTAGCTGGTTCAATTCAGGCAAACTGAATTATACTCAGCTACTTGAGAAAATAAAATTTTCTTGCAGTTGGGATAGCTAATAGCCAGGGAGGCATGGTAAGTTTCCCCTCCATCAGTCCCTTCACTCTTGCCACCACAACAAAAATACTCCAAATTTCATTTATCTTCAGCCTCACTCAACACAAAATACTTCCTTGTTCAAGATTAAATATTTTACTAGCTCTTGCTGGATTCATCACTGTTGGGCAGTCACATTAAACATGTGCAGTAATATTTTACGATGAAATACAAACTTGTTTGAAACGACACAACTCCACATAAACTTTATCCTCAGAAATGCTCACATGCAAACTTGTTTAATTAAAAGAACGGTTCAGTTCAGCTGTAAAGCTGTTCTCCACAGTCAAGGAAGGCCTTGGCTATATGCATAAATCCCAGTGCACGTACAGTTTGAGATGTAGGTACAAACACATATAGTCCATTTCTAGCCATCCCTCTCTGGCCTTCTAGCTAACCTGAGACAGAAATTAGATCAAAATCTCGAAACACAAGCTACTACATCTTTTCTTGTCTGTCAGTTCTTGAGACTTTTGATTCTACAGCTAAATCAATCCAATGGCTAGCTCTGGCAAAGGTTCAGTCCTCCTCTTTCTCTGCTGTCACATATCTGACTTACACCTCTTTCTTACTGGTACTGGGAAGCCTCTAGTCCTGCAACAAGTTATGAGGAGCTACGGTGATAAAATTTTTGATTTTTCTTTTTGGTTTAGTTTTTTCACAGTCTAGGTCCCCAAAATGGCTTCCCATGAGGTGAAAAAAAGTTGAGCAGAAATATACTGACATCAGTGGGTTCACATTTTCAGTACATTCACATAAAACTCAGCACATGGGTGGAGTCTCAATAGATTCCCATTTTTCACAGATGAAGGTCTAACCTTTCACATGTCTACATCACACATTGGCAAGACTCCAGTCTAAAGATTTGTAGGTTGGAAAAAAGTCCATGTCTACAAAGTCAAAGAAGAAACAGAAGAGAAAACATGGAACTGGAAGATGTGAAGGAAAGGAAAGGTCTGCAGCTGTAGAAAATACTCCATTTCCCTAACACATGTATAATATGCTTTCAACTTTATGACAACATTTAAGATTGTAAAGGCTATTTCCATCAAAAGGAAGAAATTATGACAGAAGAAGAAATATAAAAAGAAATTTTTTTCCCTTTCAGTAGTTGGTAAAAAAGGGCTCTCCTATTCACATTTATGAGATCTGTGCCTGAAACGTCCTCATGCCATTATCTTCAGGTGCTTCACTGTCATTTCCAACTTTTGAACACAAATGCAGAGTTTCCCAGTTATGCCCTAAAGCCTGGAATTTGCAGTCTGCCCAGTGCTTGATGATTGCTTTTATTTTTCAGTTCCCACTACACATAAGGGCAGGCATCCTTTAAACTGAACAAGAAGTTACCTGCAGCAGTGTTAGCTTCAGCAAGGCTAGGATGTGGGAGCCGACAGACACCAAAGCTGCCCATTTCCAGAGCAGCTCCCACTTCAGCTTTTCCTGCAGTACCCTTGCTATAGAAATTATCACATTCAGTATGAGCAACAAGTTACACACAAAGTTAATCCACTTCCAAAGAAGTTTGAGAGATGCAGACACAACCTTGTTCTGCAAGGAGTCCAGATTTTTTGACAGTTCGCGTTTTGAGGAGCTGCATCACATAAGGGAAGGCTCCGCACTTCCACCTCATGTGAGGGTAGCAGCTGTGGGATACAGACAGGGGAAGTAAAAACACTCCTTGGGGAATCTGACTGACAGAATTGGCAGCTAAGTTGGGCCATTTAAAAATACCCAGAGTTTATTCATATTCACCTGTGTAAGATGTGCTATACTGCATCCAAATAATTTTAAGGGTTTGGTGTTTTTTTATTGCTGTTGCTTTTATGACTTTGCTAGATCTTAACAAGGCAATGTAGTTTGTGTCTCTCACAAGTCACTTGTAAGATTTGGCTCATTTCTGGTTTGGAACAAAGGAGATTTAGCAATTGTTTTTTTCCTGCAAACTTCTATGGAAGGCTCACAGTACCATATCAGTAAATTCAGCTCTGCTGACCTGAAGTGCTCTAAAACCATGAGTCCAGTTGTCTGGACTTCCAAAACACTGAGGCAACAAACACAGAGAATTTATTATTATGACTCTTCTTGGTCTTTTAAATTTTAAGTTAGTATTCTTAAACATCCTGCTGCAATGACAGAGACATGAAATGCTGACTTAAAGAAAAAGTGCAGAAACTCTTGCATCCACATAAATTGAAAATGTAAATTTAAAGAATGTCCCCCAAACCCTACACAAATCAAACCCACATATAGAACAGTTTTGTGAAGATGGAATAACAATTGAATTGAAATTATCAGAAATCATAAAAATGAAATTATTTTTCTGTTATGATATGTCATTCACCAGGAGAATCTACTATTGAAACAATAAATAGTTTCAGAAGTATTGAGACAAATTCACAGCAGAAAGATGTTAAAATTAATGGACTAGATGCAATTTATGATTTTGGAATCCCCAAAGGTATAATCAAGTGAAGCATCTGATGACTGTACTTCTGAAAATAGACAGGCAGTACTTCTTTTCTTCTGTTATTGACCATTATCAAAGCCTTAACATGTTGGGGTTTTTTTATGTCTGCTTCTCATGTCCTTATCAATTAACTGAAAAAAGGATCATCACATTTACTAGAAATAATTCTGATGATATCCAGAATGAGGTCTTTGCATGGAAACTAAGAAACTCTTAAGCTATACATAAAAAAGCACAGTCCTGCTGAGTTTTCACTGTAGGACTATAGTGTGTATATGTATGCATATAAAAGTAATATTTGTTCTCTTTTATAAATGGAGGAAAATCATTCAAAGTAGTTGACTAAGTGACAATTTTTCAGGCTAGCTCTTTCTCTCTTCCTTTTAAAATTTTCTTTACTTCTTAAAGCACAAGCATAAGTGTGTTTCTGATAAAACACATCAAACAGACCAACAATACTTATATATGGGTAATGGGGAAGCAAAGGAAAGAGCTCTGTAAAGATCATTAGCAGAATGACATATCAAAACTAAAAGACACTTCAGATGCAGCTACGCAGCAGTGAGGGCAGTTGCCTGTAGCCTGACTGAAATAGATGAGACACTGCCCTAGTTAAGGAGAATTCCTCCATTGAGGAAATGGATGACCCGTGCAGGCCCATCATGGACATCTTGAAGATGGATGCCAAATTTGTTTTCAGATGAATCTTCCAATTCATTGTCCTTGCTACCAGCTCAAATATATGTAGGCACCAGCACCAATATTCTGTCACTGCTGGCAATAGCTTTCTTGGTATATGAGCACTTAGCAGGCTGAGGTTCAGTTGAGCACTGACCATATCTTCCAAATTCACAGCAAATAGGAAAGTTCAAACCTGTCAAGGCTGGATGGAAGATCCGTTATCCTGCTTGTGTTCTGAGAAAATTACTCCAAGGCATTCAGGCAGTAAATCTGTTACACAGCACTTAAGAGCTACAGAACATGTTTTTACAGAAGAAATAAACGTACAAATAAACATGTACCAGGACATCACTCTTGAAGGAAAACAGCTGGGCCATCATATTGGAAACAGTAAAAAAGAAATACATTTGCTAAGCAAACATGTTGAGGAAAGGCCGACAGAACATATAAACCAACCAATAAAAGGTTGCTTTTTCACAGCATTATCAGGTATTTACAAGTAGTGCAAGCCTCTGCCTTAGCAACAAGATAAACACCAGGCTTCCAGAAGCCATAAAACTGCTAGTACTCCAATACAGAAAGGCAGGAATATGGGAAACGTATCTATTGAATTGTCCTCTGTAGCTATCTTATTGTCTTCACAGAAAAGCGCTATTTCAAGATGATTATTCTTGGTAGGTTAACAAAAAACTGGCTGTTATTACTTCTGTCATTTCTAGCAAAAAGTTATTTCACTGGAGTAGCTTGCAAACCTCATCTGGTTATATGTATGCACGATTTCAATACAAGAAAAATAAAGTTATACAATTGCTTCATCCACTTACTCTTAATTTTTATGTTTAAACAATCTTCTTTGATATTTTGGTAAGATTTAGTAATATAGAAGAGTGTATTTAACACAGTTGTTAGGACTACATACACAGGAAACATAAAGAAACTTTGAGCCAATTCACAACATTAATAATCCATAAAAGCACCCATGAATTCACTTCAAGCAAAACCATGCAGTTATTGAAGCTGTAGTTCCATGGATCTTTTGGAAAAACAGAAACAAAACCAAAAACAAACCACAAAAAACCCCAACATCACATAAAAATAATAATAATAAAAAAACCCGCCAAAAACCCAACCCACAAATTTTAAGTTCCTCTTTTTCAGATTGGATTAAATTAATGAGGCTATAAGTATAATCCTAGCCAGATATCAATAGTTTAAACTGTACATTGAAACCAATCCCATCACATTAAACTAACCCCTGGCTGAACAGACTCGAGAAGTGCTTATATTAACTGTTCTACAGTGGATGATGTGGGAACACCCACTAAGTAAAAGTGGAAGTCAACCTTGTTCTTAGCTGCTTTTCCAAATCCGGCCTAGCTGATGAGAAATGGGTCCCTACTCTCCCTACTCAGAATAAGATAGTCCAGAGTGTTTTATTTGCAAAACAACCTCCGTATATTACTACAGCTTTCCTTTCCCTGTTAGTTAAGACGAGAGACTACAGGAGAGAAGCAAATGCACAGATTTAAAAACAGTAGAAACAACACACTAGTTGATCTGTCAGAAATATCAACTGACATTATGCCAAAATACAAAAAGTAGCCACCATTAATCAAACTGATGTGAAAAACCCTTTTTCACCAAGGCACCTAAATCCATAGACTGGAACTTGAGTGAAAAACAAACAAACCAACCAGCTCACCCAGCTTTCAAACTAAGTTTATTAGTGGAGGGGGGGTGGTGTTACTTTTATGCTCTTGGCTAAGAATCTGTCATTATATTACAGTCAAAGAAACTTTTTCTGTTCTTGTAATAGTTTTTCTAAAACAAACATCTTGTTCAACCCTTCATAACCTGCTTACAGCTTGCATAATTCCCTCAAGCATATGAAACATTAACATCTTCCATTGGTTGTTGAAAATGCAGTAAGTGAATACTTACTGGGAAAGGAAAAGAAAAGGAAAAACAAAAAAAAATAAAATCAAACCTAAATTCTATCGTAAGACATTTATCAGCATAGGTCAAGTCATAGACCTATCTAAACAGCATTGATCTCTAAAAATAGTGTTTGGCTTTGGATGAACCTAATGCAGCAGTTAATGGATGCAATGGCTGTTTAACTCCATCCTCATTCTTAGCTAAAACAGCTGTTTCTGAGAAAGATGTTTGCCAGATTTTCATTTGAACTTTAGAAAGAAGCCCTCATCAAATTTACTCAGGTCTTCAAGACTACAAATCATCACAGCTCCACTGACTTCTACTACATCTCCTACTTCACTGAGAAGGGGCACTTCATTTACAGCAGCAGACTTCCCCTCTTCTCCTTCTCTGCCCCGAGCTGAAGTGGCACTGCTCTTTACAAGTCCCTTCCTCTTAATAGACCATTATGGGCCTTTGAATGCTTTGTAATGACCGTATTTGCTGAGAACATTTCCTAAAGTCAGTCTATTCCTGTTCCTGGTTACACTGATTCACACAACGCATTTAAAACTCTTTATACAGCACAAGGCAAATTAGTCATAATTAATTAAAAATAAGCATGCTTTGGAAGCACAGGCTAAAACCCATCATTGCAAGACCATATTAGTAGTTGATTCTGAGGGTTTAAGTGATTTGGGTTTGTTTCTTCAATAACAATGCTGACAGGATCTTTGGGTTTGGAGTTTTTGGGTTGTTCTTTTAATGAACAGAAGTAGCAGGACTTTATTTTAAAAGCATTAACTATGTGATTCACTAAACTCTTTCCTCTGTCCCCAGTCAGTCTTATCACTAACTCCTTGTTATTTTTTAAAGTGATAAAATAGACATTTTTGCAGGAAGATCTCCCACTATCTCAGAATTGTGAGGCCATCCATCACATCTGTGGGGGAGAATGGCAGGGGGAGACACTATAGCAGGTGGAAATAAAGGGGGATAGTGATAAGCAGACAAAGCTTTGCAAACAAGAAAATAATTGCCTTGTAAGAGGAACAGGACTCTCTTCCACCAACTGCCCATCTCAAAGGAGAAAAGCATGGGTAGGAGGGGAAAAAAACAGAAAGAAAAAACCCTACACCTTTTCTTGCCTCCAGTTTCCAAGGGAGGCTCGTTTTGATACCCAAGGAAAATAAGCATCCAAATGGAATCAGCATGCCTACCTTCACTAATGCTATATTTAAGGTGCCTCAGGCACACAATTTTTTTAATAGCCATACTCCAGTCTGTAATGACTAATTTGTCAGATTGCTGTTGAAAACACATCTGTAAAAGACAATTTTTAAAAATTAGATAAATAAAGACAAACCTGTATCTTGCCCTCTGCAAGAGGTAACATGAAACAGTGAGCAAGGACTGAGGATGGAGGGTAGAAAACACACCATCAGGTTATTTCATTCAGCCAAATCCTAATAAATTTCTGTTTCTGCTGTTTTCTAAATATATCTGGATATAGCTGAACCTGGCCTCCAATAATTAAGAACACTTTTTGTAAAGTATAAATGAAGCAAAAAGAAGTGTTTACATCATTTTCAAAAGGTAAGGAAAATGTAATGAATATGTTATAAACTCACTTCTGCTTTAGCACCCTGAGATCAATTAGTCCTTTTTCATTTTCACTTAAGCACAGATATTTTTTCTGCTCTACATGACCAGAAGAATTTAACATCTGTCTGTCAGTAGCCCTGAAAGAAAAAAACAAAACCAAAAAATTTACTGTCAGGTCTTGTGCAGCTTACAGAAAAGAGGAACTTTAGGCTTCTAAAATACCAGTGGCACAAATAGAAAGGGAGAAAAATTAACATATTGAATAGTCATGATTTTACATGATGCTAATGTCTCTTAATCAATCAGTTCAATTATCAAACTCTGACAAATTAAAAGGAAAAATATATATAGTACTGCCTAGTGATATTCTAATTATTACACAGTTTAATGGCCAGTCTTCGCGAACGAAGATTTTGGGAAAGGTCTTTTACCTTTCAAGCCTGCGCAATGGATTTTTTTAGGTGAGACACAGCATGGGCCGAACTGAGCCCACCCTTTAATCCTAAGGTTCATCTGCCGGGGCCAAGCAAGCTTGGACAATGGCAGTGAGGCCCTCAGGATGTAGGTTTGTTTAGAGTGACCTTCTCATAGATGGATGGCCTCACAGGGCTAACGGGCTCCATCTGCCCGGGGGACCGGGAATCGAACCTGGGTCGCAGCGGTGAGAGTGCCGCATGCTAAACCACTAGGCCACCAGGGGTCCCATATTACACAGTTAAAACCCCAAGAAAAATCAGCCTTCTCAGAGTTGCAGGATAACTGCTATCCTCATAGCCTGGCATGTCCTAATCTCTGGGAATAACTAACCATTACAGCTTGAAAGGTGTGGGCTGAAAGAGCTATTTACCCAGTATTGCAAGGCAGTTTCTATTTAACCGGAACCTTGAAAAGTTGTTTTTGCTAGAGGTTAAGTCCAAAGCTTCAAGTCAGCTCCGAATGCCAGCTGGTCTCACAGTCCACTGTTCATGGTTATTTGCTTCAACTCTAGCTCATCACTAACACCAAAAACTCCAGATTCAGACTTTGCTATGTGCCAGACCAAACCATTGCTTTCCACTTAACATTTGTGTCCACTTCTCTTCCTCCTCATATTCCTGTTATTTCTTGTTTTGTTGATAGAAGCCAACATCAACAGTTTTACCCTGTACTGAGGGATAGGCAGAGCTTAGATAGGGGATACTGTTATGCTGCCAAGAATTCATAGCAGTCATCAACCACTTTTTTTTTCTGAACTTCCTCTCTTCAGAACATCCAAACTCTAAGGATGCTTTAGAAACTCTTCCGGTCTCAGCTGTACTCAACACATGAAAGGCTGTTATTGGAAGTGACATTAGTTTACCATATTTATAAGGGGAGTTTTCCCTTTCCATGAATCAATATTTTTCATCTATGCAGTTGAAGCAAACAAACAAAAAAACCCTATTATGTTTTCCGTGTGGCTCCTAGAAACAACCGATTGTGAAATTGGAAAGCATCTTAATATTTACCTTGTGAAATTTACATTTTGAATTCCTCACACACACATAAACACAGTTTCTACCCCATGATTGAGAACATATCCACCTTACCAGTGACAGACACAAAGTGCTATTTCCATGTCCTAATCCAAACTGCCGGAGATGTAAGTCACAGTGTCCTTTCAAAATTTATTACTTCCACACAGAAAGTGTTCACCTATTGTACTCAAAACTCCATGTCCAACCAACGAGTTCATTTCTGTTTCTAGCAGGGAGGCGAGTTCAGCACAATTCACACACAGTCAGAGGATGTGCTAAGGACACCAGGATAAAGAGGCAGCAGCCAGGAGTGCACCAACAAGCATTGGGGATAGCATTCACTTGAGAAATACAACAGGGAAACACTCCTGAGAGCTCTTGGAAGCTCCACAGTGACTTCAGCTGACTCAGAAGGACACTGTGATGATGCTGCTTTCTCCCCTGCCCTAAGCAATGCCTTCTCAACCCTATCACTAGTCCTGGCAGTGTGAGCTGGTTCTGGAAACTCACCTGACTGAGAAATAATTCTGCAAAACAGAAAAGGTGGTTGGTTTTCACCTGGGTTCAAGCCCCACAGGAGAAGGGCTAGCAACACGCAAACTCAGTTTTCACCATTGTTTCCCTGCCACTGTGGGACCACACACTCAGCTATGGGTGCTACTAACTGCAAACCCTGCCGTGGTGACTTTACTCAACTGCAATTCAGCCTAACATTACTGAAAGATGGAGGAAATGTGTGTTCACCATATATTGTAGAACTATGAATTTTGAATTTGTTCAAAACAGTGTCTCATGCACTTTATTCAGGAGTCCTTGAATTAGATCAAAAGAAAATATTCTTACAGGATTTTGTTCAAAATGTAGTGAATAGACAAAATAATTTTAAACTACATCACTAAGACAAGCACTGCGGAGTTAAGAAAAGAGAGCTGCAGCTACCTGCTTATGAGGATACATCTTTTAGTTTTATGACAAAATGCTACTTTTACTATAAGAGCTTTTCCATCATTTTATACCCCAAACTGGACAGAATATATTGACTTTCTACTCATCCTAAAATATATGACTGAATGCATATTAAATGTGCTTGGGCTTTACTCTGTCATTCTTGGTGACACAGAAAAGTTTTCAGAAACAGCAGCTTATTTACTCAACTTCCTGTAAATAGAAGGATGCCAGCGTCTTATTTTCCAGGAAGGAGGCTAGGTAGGGAAAGATTTTAATGTAAATTATATTCACTAACATTTGATATTTTAAGCTCTTAATTTTTTTGGAGTCTGCAGAACTGCACAGCAAAGCTGTGCCCTCATACTACTGTAACTGCAAGATGAAATTCAGAGTTTCCTTTGAGAAACTGAATTTCAATACACCTGTGACACAAATGCTATCTCTGGTTAAATCATTATTTTACTCCAAGATTTGCAAGCATTTAAAAGTAAGTTCTTCAAAAGCTTAATATTGTAAATAGTGAAAATTTTAGCTATAGTGATAGTTTGATAGTGCTTTGTCCAAATGAAAACTAGGTCCTAAAACCAGATATGAAGAAAAGTTTAAGTTAATTAATGGCGTTGTTCTGGAATGTTGATGCCCTATTTAAAACCACAGGGTAGTATCTAATTTTGCATTTCACATGTTGTTACAGATACTTAAAATTTTAAAAAGTCACAGCTGAAGAGCTAGTAAATGCCAGTTTTAAAATGCCATGAAAAGAACACAGCTATACCCAGATTGATATCTTCCGTGCCATGTACAAACTCACCCACTGATTACTTCTGGAAATTTTTGAGAAGCAGTTTCACAACAGCCTGTAAGGGAATCCAGCCCACTTTTTTGTTGATGGTATTTTTTAATCAGGTCCATCAGCACTGCCTGGTGCCCAATCTTTTTCACCAGCTGTTGCACCATACGATCATTAAGTGCCAGAAGAGCTGCACCACTTACTTCTTCTTCTGCAGATTGAAGGGGATAAAAGACATAATGTAAAATAGCTTTACAGTTACATTCTATATGCCTAAAAACATGATGGAAGACAGGTCAAAGGTAAAGATGCTTTCTACTGCCAGCTGTCATTTTCAACTGCTACTGTCCTTTCCTAAGCAGTGCCAGGAATCACTGGTCAGATACCTTCCCCTAATAAAAAGCCAAGTCTGAAATATGCAGAGGCAGAGAGGTGACTATTTTAATGCTTTAAGTCAGGCCTTGCTTAAACCACAGGAGACTGTCACTTGTTAATGAAGGCAAGCCTTTTAAGAGAACACACAACAAATAGGCTGTTCACGTAACAGTTTCTTGTTCACTCTTTTGTAGAGTGTTTATATACTCAGTCATAAAACGTTTACACACTACAGTTGCATTATTTCAAAAGATTTATACAACATAAAATAGGCCCTGTCAAGACTTTTAAACTGCCAGTTCTGATTTGAGGTGTCTCTATTTATATACAGGCTTAATCTCATCCCCCAGCATTTCTCAGAGACTTCATAATAAATCCGTACACTTATGTTGACTTATCAGATCTATGTCAGTTCTCACCCTAATAAATTTTTATAAAAGTCTGAAGTTAGCATATACACACATGCCCCAAAACATTGTAGGCAGTGCCAATTAAAGGCACAGCAAGAATTACTAAACAAGTCCCCCTCCAAACAACAAAAATGCTTACCACGGAACTTAGGAACTAGTTCTCCTAAATTTCTCTGTTTCAACCAGTTGCAGACTTGCTCAACCGACCAATTTTCCATCTTCAGCTGTTGCAGTGCTAAATTTCCCTGTGAAATTAAAAGAGAAGATTATTTTTATGCTGAACTCTAAACTGAACTCCAACGTTTCATAGGAAAAAAATGCACTTAGCAAATAAAGATACATCTACATGTTCTGAATAAAAATAGTGCAAAATAATCCAGCTAATGCCTATTATAAGTGGCAGTTTCCTTGAATCCCCTTCCTCACCTCCTCTCCCTTCCCTGCTTTTTCTCTGCTCTGAGACAGCCTCATTCCTTATAAAACACGACCTGCTCCAGTACCATTAACACCCAGATTTCCTCACAGAGAAGAAAAAAGGTGTGAAATTCACCACCACCATCAGGCTCATCAGGAAATGGCTGACATTTTACAGAGGGGAAAAAAGCAAACCACCCCACCATCGGATAAGAGTCAGTCACCTACACGTTTATAGTCAATCAAGCACCTTAACCCTCTCTGCACCACCACCCAGGGCAGGTACACAGCAAATACTTAACCCTCAATTACCAACAGTTAGGGACAATAAAGATGGAGGGGAAGGGAGGGGACTGCACCTCCTCTTATTTGCTAGTTCTGTTCCCCAGCCTGCAGTGCTACCTGGGAAGATGCAGCGGGCACCCTTGGGAGGTAGAGGGTGGGCAGGGGGTCTCTGGGAGAGCCGGGGTGCGTACACCGACCCTCCGGGTGAATCCGTCCTGCACATACCGTGTGCCTTCAGTCCGAAGGACTGACTTGGATAACGAGAGGGGTACATCGCATACCAAAAACAACAGCAAACTCCCCAGAGGAAGATTGCTGATAAAGACAGCTTGTTCCACGCTACAAACTTCTCGGCAGCAGAAAACTCTCTCCGAGGGGGATTTTCTTATTAATACTTTTTAGCTCTACTATGTAAAGGAGCACCAAGTGCTTCATGACCATGCTTGCAATGCACAGCAAACAATACTACAGGACATTATTCGAGTCAATTTTTCAGATGAGAATATATGTGTCTGGCATTGTACGCCAAACATTTCCTTCCATATCCTAAGCCTGCAGCAAACTCTAGGCTAACAAGAGGATTCACCCACACAAACCTCATTAGCATCTGCACTCCAAAAAAAAAAAAAAAAAGGAGAAAAAAAATCCTGGAATAAAAGCATTTCCATTTTCATTCTTCAACAGCAGACACCCTGCAAAAGACCTGCACTTCATGCTTATGCTCTTATGGCCTTTTAAGTCCAGCAACTTAAAGGGGTTAAGTTTGAGAGGAATGCCTTTCTGCATTACATGAGTGGATTTAATTCGATATGACAACAGTAGCCATACAACTCCTCCCCCAGGCTAAGCAGCAAGAATAGAGTGTGAAAAGTCATTATTTGTTGAGAACTCTGGTGTAAATTAAAAATCACACCTTTCTGTCACACTTCTTACTTCCTCGCAAAGAGTAGGGCAGAAAAAAAGTCTCCAAAAATTTGAAAGATAAAACCAGATGCAAAGGAAAAAGATACTTCCCTTATCTAACAAGCAGCGTAAAAGGAGAGAGATACATTAAAATGTTAGAAAGGTCACTTCTTCATTGCGAAAGAAGGCTAACATTCTAGAGCACTTGTAAAGCATACAGGCAGATACCAAAACTTGAAAAAGTGTCAAGATAGCTATAGCCATGCAAAACAATATGCATATTTAGCTCTGGGTGGCTAATTCTACAGCAAAATGGCTACTTGCACATGGAAATGCAGGTTGCACACTTAATCGAGTGAAGTGATTATACCTTGGAGGCTTTTTTTTTAAAAAAAACAGATTATATGCATTAAGGGTGGGAAACAAATACTTTTAAGTGCTTCTCACAAGTGATTTCACTTACTTGCATATGCTATAGATAAAAGAGTCAGAAAAAGAGCAGACCAATCTTCTAGCAGCATTTTGGAGACAACAAGAAAGATTGAGCACAGATGGTGATATTTGTCTTCATTAATGATTCTATTTATTACATTAGCATCAAAATACTATCCAGTGAAGGGTTGCCTGTGCTCAGTGTGGTGAAATTTGCAAATATTTATATTCTTCAATCAACTCTAAGTGAGAAAACCAAAAAAATCCAACAGCAGCAACATTTTAAAGAGAGCAATTTACAGCATAACTTATTCAGAGCAGTTCTAAGTGTGAGTGATCTCTGCTTGTTAATAAATACAGCCTATCGCTGAGACCCATTTCTTCATACATCTAGGATGAATATCTATCATTAAGACTTAACTACCCTGGTTAATGAAACCGAGTAATGAAATCAGTGAAAATTACATTTCCCTAGGATGTGACAGGACAACACTTCTATTTCCTGTAAAATCCTTGAAGACCAAAGGATAAAAATCTTGAGTTTTAATCATATCAAGCTAAAGACCTATCTATGGTACAGATTTCTGGCAGATGTAGTTGGCTACACAGTAGCAAGAGATGGAGTTCCTGACCAGCACACCTCTGCTGGCACATCCATACTGCACACGCACTAATTTACCCTGCAGCTTGCTTTACAAGAAAATACAATAAGCTCCTGTAGTCTTGAATTCTAAATTAATCTATTTATAATCTTCTAAATGAATAAACCTATACATCAAAACATATTAGACATGAAGAGCAAATTATTGTATTTACTTCACATGTTGACTTGTGAGAGAGTCTATGGCACCACAGAATACAAATAGCACAACCTTTGACAGGTCTCTGTGTGGATGTCACTGAGGTCAGAATTATGGTTAATTTTAGTACAAGAGTAAGGAATGTGATACATGCACATCTATACATCACAGCTACGTGGCACATTTTGTACAGAGCCAGGTCTCAAAGTTGCTAGTGTGATGAGTAGGAATTTGTGCAAACCGAAGATATCAGCAAAGTATCCCATGTGCATTTTTTATGCTCTGTTTATTTGGTTTTATCTTTGTATGCATTGCAGAGACTTTATTATTTTCTTTCCACTTACTATCAAACTTGTTTTAAAACAATTAAAACTATGTTAAAGCAACTTTATTGCAGCCAGAATATGTCATCTTGGATCCAATACTGAGTTATTATGAAAAGAACATCAGCTGTCCACAAACCTTTTCAATAACATATAGGGAAAGACTCCAAGGCAGCACTTTTATCACCCTCCCCATTCCCTGAAGAAAATGCCAACAAATTATTGCTGACATTTGTCAGACACATGCTAGCATGAACCATTGCACTGAATGCTCAGAGAGATGCCTGGAAGAAAGGGAAAAATATTCCAATACCAAAGCAGGAACAAATCCTTAAGGTCAACATATCAGTTCTCATTTCTATGCTATTGTAGAGTAAGACACATGCAGCTGCAAGATCAGGAGACATACAAATGTACAGCAGATGCAAGAGAAAACCCATATTGCCTAGAAGTAAGGCTTTATAAGAAGATCTAGGAAGGAAACCTGCACAACCATTAGTCAGCTGTAAATAAAGGGGAACAAGCCAGACAACCCTTCTAAAGTTTGAACAGGATTAAGGGAAGTTTCAAGGGTTCTGAACATGCCAATTTATTGAGCTTTTTAAGCAGACCAACTCCTCTGCTGCAGGAATTAACTCTGAAGAATATTGTAAAAAATCAACTCTTTCTTTAATATATGTGCTTCTGATTAAATATGCCATTTCTAATATTCAAGTTTTTACTATATGGACTTCAAATATTTTCATCTGTGTTATGTACAGTGCTACTGGAAAAATGAGCTGTCCTGCTTCAACAGCAAGATTCAACACAAGTACCAAGTTCTCTCTGTTACAGATGTGCTAGTTATTTGGCAATTTGAAAGGAAGAAAAGAAAGTTGACTGTGTTTTAAGGTGATTTAATAGTAACACCGATAAGATTCCATTCTTGCTATTACTGGCAACAGTGCACAAGCCATGAAATAATACACTTAGTTGTAAAAGAAAATGTCTTTTTTTTCTAAGAAAACCTTCTAGAAATGTATCCATGTAAAATCAAACCCTTTTATATTATCTTTAAGAAAATGGTATCAAATTAAAAATACAATGTTACTGGATAGTGAGAACAGGAAAAGAATTAGGTGAAGGTTAAAAATTCATGAATTACAAAAATGAAATCTCATATACCACAAAGAAAGCAATCAGACTGAGGATGTTCAGTACAATACAGGGACTGCTTCAGAAGACTATAGAAAAAAAATCATTTTGTCTTGTAAGTGATATCACACTGACTTTTCTCCCCAAAGCACAAATTTCCCACCAGGACTATTGATACTGTTGATCATGTCACTGCTGGCTTAGCATAGGACTCCAGCTCCTGTCACTGGGCAGTGCAGAGACCTCGCACACTGCAGCCCTGCAGTGCAATCCACAGTAGACTAAATCACAGCAGTCATAATCCAGCCCTCTTCTTTGCAGCCATCCATATGATCATGTAGTCAGTGGTGCAGGCTAAGCTGAAAACATCAATTTTTTCATGTGGTGGGCTTTGGATGGATCAGTGTCTTTAACCAACTCCCTGTCCAATTGGGTGAAAATAGATCTTGGAATCGTATCTCTAGATTAATCAGTGTAGATTCATCCTTGTTTCAATACATTTATCAGGGAAGATTTCTGTCTTAATGGAGCATTTGTTTATAAAGTTAGGCCAGAAACCCAAACTGTGAGCAGTAACTATTCCACCTTCAAACAAAATTGAGAGATATACTCATCTCCTTTCCCTTAAATCATTCTGCTTGAATTATACTGTCTCTGCTTCTTGCAAGGTTACTCTTCAAGCTTGTCTGATGAATAAGACTAACAATGAGGCTGATCCACTAATTGCTAAGAAGCATGATACAAGGTTCTGTTATTTGGTTGCTCCATTCGATTTAGAATCACCAACCAGTTCAGAGAGCTAAACAAGCAGTCATAGTGACCTTACAAAAAATGGTTAAGGCTAATTGGAAACAACAGCTTACCAAATCTATTCTGATGCAAAAGGCTTGGTGGTAATTTATAAGCGGATCAGTTGGCACATCCTCAAAGGTTCTAGTGTTTGACAAAGTTGCTTTCTGTTGTTCCCAAGGGATGGATACAGAAACCTTTTTAGCCTGAGTAACATCTAGAAAGTGATGCATATCCTTAAGTGAGTCTACATAGCTGAACTATGACAAAAGTTGGGGCTCCCATTGACGTAAGTTGCAGCTCCCATGTGGAACCACATGGGTACATGGCATGCACATGTTTTTCCCAGTAAGTGATCTACACAGTTCTTATACCTTTAGCACATGAGAGTTGTTATAAAATATCTCTTGAATTTTGTTCGTATGCTGTAATTGCTCTTATTCTGTATTACAATCTGCATTCAAAATTAAATTTTTTGTCCATGTTTTGTCAGTGCAAGATTTTGTCAAGCAGTGACTCAATCATGCCCAAAGTCAGGATTGTACCTTTTGCTGAGAAGAGTCTTGGCTAGTCTCTGAGAAATATACCATCATCAGGCGTGGTTGCATGTCTGAGAGAACCTGACCTCAAAAAGAGCTACAAGCTATATCCAGAAACATTTACCAGGCAGCAGAGAAACAAGAACCACAACAAAGTTTTTGAACTCTCCTGGCATTTATTCAGTAGGATGAATCAGTGAGGTAGAGGAGTGAAAGTTACTAGGAAGACATAAAAAGAAACCCTGAAAGTGAACAAATTGCCCTTGTCAGTAAACGCGGGTGCGTGCATAACATTCATTTTGGCCAGCCAGTAAGAACTTACCCAGAGGCCCCTTCTTGTATAGTCACTGTGTAACTGGGAAAACTAGAGTTTGGTACACCGTAGGAATAGTTGGTAGGCTGCAGGCAACTCATCAGCATTTTGAAAGAGTAAAGCAAGTGAAAGC